CCAACAAGACCCTTCATTATCTAGGCCCTAGCTACTTCTTCACCTCTTGCAATGAATGAGTCTCCCCTGTCACATTCTAGCTTCACCAAGATGTGCCCTACACAGCTCTGTGCTCTTGACCCTCCCATGTGCTTCCATGGGGTCCCCTTCACCACCTAACCTCACTCTCGTTGGCAAAATTCTACCCTTATTTTTTTTTTTAAATTTCCATTCTGCTGTCTTTCCTAAGTCCCTCGGGCAGACTTGGGCGTTTCTTTCTCCACACTAGCCTGTCATCTCGCACTTACCTTCGTTGCAATAATTACCACTTCACATCGTATTTGACACTTTACCTGTCAGGTAAGTTCCCTCGAGTTGAAGACAGGGACTGTTTCCTATTTATCTCTACCACCCAGTGTCCGCCCAGGGCACAGCATACCATTTTGCCCATACGACAGGCTCTTTTATACCTCTCTGCTCTCTGTCTCCGTGGAGGGAGTCATTTATCTTTCCTCCCTAAACATTTGGCTAAAATGCATTTTATCTGTGAGATTTTTCCCTGATTACACTGACTTCCCTCTCCTCACTCCTTCATTTCATCACGTCCTCAGGGCTTGGAGAAGACTCTTCCAACAAACAGGTTTGTGCTTTAATGCTTTCGATTCAATTCTTGCTCCTAGCTCAACCACTCTAAAACGTTTAGGGAGCATCTGCTGAAATCATCCACAGAAGTGTGGTTTTAAAAATTCATTTCCGTTCAAACACCTATTTTTTTTTAATGCTTGGAGAAGCAGTCAGGCTTCTTGCCCTTCCCAAACCAAATACCCTGTCAGCGCGCGATATGGGCAGAAAGAACGGAGAACACCGAGTCATCTACAGTGAGACTTCTGAAAGCAAATGAGGCAAAGACTGAACTAAGGGAAGCCACCCAGCTCCTTTAAAGGCTTCAGAAGGACCAGAAAGAAATCAATCTGCCCATGGGACTTCGAGAATGGACTAACCCGTTGGACTGCTGAAAACAGATGCCACACAAAATATCCAAGAAGATGCTTTCGTCAGCTCGGTGCCCTGAAACTTACCCAGGAGACTAAAGAAGTAAAAATGGAAAGGCTACACTCCCTACACTGCGCGCTGCTTCCTAAATACTCCTCTTTTTTACTAGAAACTGTATTTTCCCGAGCTAGACTCAAAAGATCTTGGAGGCCAGTAACAGCATATGTTTCTTTTATAGTTCCCAAGTTGCCCACCCCACTAAGTACGTAGTGTTGGCTCAAGAAATGCTTTGTTGTCCACTGACCCATCCCCAAGTACTTAACTATTTTTCTTCCCCTCGATATTTTCAGGAATGCTTGTTATTCACAAAAGAGCGCAGTCTTGGAGGCCAAGAGGAAATATTCATCTGTTGGTATACATTTTCCCTTGGCTATGCATTAAACAGAGATTTCCTTTGGAAATGTAAACAAAGGATGCCTGATGAGAAAGGACAAAGGACTATATATAGAGATCAAGTGGCCAGAGTGTGGGGGGAGGGGGTCAAAGCATGGCCCTCCCTTAACCAATTTAAAGGAGTCTTCCTTCTGCTCCTGCCTCCTTCCCATGCTCTCTAGCGCCAACCAAAAAATAGTTTCCAACTGCCTATCCCCTGAATTCTGGAAGCTGGGCAGCAACTGGAACAGGCTGATTTACTAAGGAATTCAGCTAAAAAATCTGTGGTGATCCTAATCTCTGTTTCTGTAATAATAGGAAGACTGCAGCTTTGTTTACTTTCTGGGGAGAATAGAGAACAAGAAGAAAGAACCAGGAGAGAGGCAGTATTTACAGCCCCTTTATGAAAAGTCAATCTAAGACAAAAACATTTGCAGACAATAAGGAAGGGGAACAGGTTTGGCAGGAAAATAGTCTATTCCAGTTTTCTCAGAAGTGCCTTAGCTGGTCTCCTCCACCCCCGCCCAACGTGAAAGGCCGGGTTCACACTGTGAATAGAGTCTTTCCCTATAGACAAAGCTGGATTCGATAGAACGCCAAACACACAAACGCACACGCGCACGCGCACACACACACACACACACACAAATTCACATCACCCTTTAGTGTCTGGTTCTCATGACAGCCAGTCTCCTACTATTTATTTCATTGTGTAAAGTATTTAGAAGCATTTATGAAGTCTCAATTCCCTTCTTTAACTGCATTTTTAATCCCGGTGCTTGTTCCAAAGCCTTCTGGACACACAGGCTCTGTGCTGAATGAGTATAATAAGTACCCTGGACTCACCCTATTATTATGGGGAAGTTTAGGGCACATCCCTAACCTTTCAGAAGGGATGATGTCATAGAACACAGCCATGCTCTTCCATAAACCATCTTATGGGCTTCCTGTCAAAGACAGAATCCTAAACTGGAGGGCCTATGGAGTTAACTCCCCAAATACTCTCACCCTTGATGGGTAACATCGGATCTCGTGGTTCTTTGGCAACCGTCGGTTACCAATTTTATGCCATTGTCTCTATTGCCCGCACGTGTATATTCGTAGCGGGGTGGATTTGTGCAGCGTAAAAGCCATCCGAAGGCAGATATCGTGTCCGCCCGTGCTGTTTTCTTTGTACCTGGTACAAAGCCATGCATAAGCAAGTATTGGCAAAAGGTGACCTTTTGTGTGGCAGAGCAGACAGCGGCCTACGCAATGGATTTAACAAGCATCTCTAAGGGAGCCTCTTAAGCCCCTCCTTGGCTGGTTCATCGCAGGATGGCTCTTCCCTCCCATTTGGTTTGTACCTGGCAACACTGCTGTCATCTCCTGCAAAGCTCCAGCCAGAGGACCGACTTCAGAAAGGCACTGTTAAGACATCTCGTGTTACCTAGAGGGCCAGAATGAGTCCTCCTCTATTAACACAAGGATGCATTGTTTTATGAGACTAGCTCCTTGCTGCTTGAAAAGAGTGGGGCCCTGAATACAAAGGTCTGGCGGGAGCAGTGGGCGGGGAAGGGGGGGAATCGGGCTCTGTCTGGGTGAGGCTGGTCAGAGTGATCAACTTCCCAGGGGTGGGATGATAAGATGACAGAGAGGTCTCAGGGCAAATAAGCAATGAAAACAAACTGCTTACTTTGCTAATTTGACTACGACTTACACTATACTTAATAGTCTTTTTGATGAGAATGAGGAAGGTGATAATTATAATTTCTAACAACGTTTTATTCACTATTAGCTGTTACCCCACCCTCAGCCATGAGAATTCTAAGCCAAGGGATCCCTTATCTTGTCTCCTGCTTACAATACTTCTTGTCTCTCCACCAGTGTGGGTTTCTTATACTGTAATCTGACAGCATAATCAGAAGCTTTGATAGAGTGGAACAGAGAGGGAGTCTGAGTAGCTAAAAAGCACTTTAAAATGCCTTCTGTTTTGTTTCTCCCCACACAGTAAAGGATAAAATCAAAGACCAAAGAAGAGAATAAAAAATGTAGCTCGCAGAATCATGACCCGTTAAATCTGGAAGACACATAGAAGGTCAGGGAGTCAGTTGAATCCCTTATTTTCACAGGTAAGGACCCTGAAGCAGAGTTGCTGGGTGACTTACTCAAATTCATATCACCGGTTAATGGCAGTGTCAAGACTGGAACCGTATTTTGTAACTTACATTCCAGGGTTCTTTCTTTCCATTCCTTGGGCTTCTTCCTAACTGTCCTGCTACATTTCCACAATCTCGCCCCTGAGTTAGCAGTGTCCTCTACCCCCTCCATATAGCACCACTCTCCTCCACAAACGGAGTGCCCAGCAGGGATTAAATTGTTATGGTACGCTCATCATCCAAGTACACCCTCCTTTAAGAAATGCAAGACCTGGGTATTGCACTGAGGAGGGCACGTGCTCTGATACGCACTGGGTATTATACTTAACTAATGAATCATTGAACACTGCATCAAGTACTAATTATGTACTATACAGTGGCTAACTGAGCATAATTTTAAAAAATTAAAATTAATTAATTAATTTTAAAAAAAGAAATGCAAGACCTGAAGACATCCAATTAGGAGTGCTTACTTGTATAAGACAATTCTTTTTCTTACTAGAAGATTCTCACACTCCCTTAAGTAGAAATCCCTAGGTAGGTTTTACCTTGAACTACCACATTTATCTGTCATACAAGGAAGCTTAGAACTAGACCATGAGGTTGTAAATAGAATTAGAAACCTTTTCATCCAATCACTGCCCAGGAAGAATGCTATAACATTTTATCCGACCCGCTTTAGACTTGAAGCCTTACAGTTACCTCTTTAACAAAACCAACACAAAACCAAATGCTATAGCTGAGGCCCCGTGCTCTTGAGAAAGAGAGAGAAATAACATCTTTCTTTCATTACATCCACTGAACTGATGAAAAGACTGACTCCTCTTGTAAGCTCTGCTCTTTGATGTGCCCTGACGTAGGTAACAGGCTTCGAAAACCTTAGACTGGTATGACACTTTACAATTCACAGACAATTTGAACAGAGAGAGCATTTGTTGATGACAAGAGCAAGTGGGATGGTGATGAGTGAGTTCCAAGTGAGGTGCATGGGGACAAAGGGAGGAGAGGCTAGGAACAGGAGAAGCAGTCCTGATAAGTACTCTCACAGACACGATACTGCCCGGAACGAACCTCGCCCTACTCCAAGGACTCCGGATTCCCAGCTGCCCCTGTGAAACCTCAGTGATCTCTTTAGGGAGCTAAGATGTCCAGTTTGATGAGAGAAGAAACACACTGCATGTTAGATTCTCATATTGCCTGCCACTTAGAAAGGAGAACGGATTACCCCCTGGACTGCTGTCTCCCCAGTTCATTGCCCCCACCCATCTATTTCCGTTTAAACAATAGCCATCTGCCATTTTTCTTGGAACAAGCATCCTAAGGGAATGAGACTTCCCAGAACTATCATTGAGCCCTTCACTCCAAATGGCTGAGCTACACTCTTGACAAAACTCAAGTATACCCCAAGGATCACCTGATCCGGTCCCCTGAAAAAATCACAAAATTTCCATTACATACCTCAACTTGCTGGCAGATCTGTATTAGTTTGGCCATTTGATTTTCTAGTTCACTGTTGCGCTTAACCAGGTTGGTGAGGTTCATCTCCAGAGTTTGCTGCCATCGATGAGAGTAGGAAGCCAGAGGGAAACAGGGAAGAGGGGAAAAAATAAGAAACGTTCAGTGAGCTTGAGAACCGATATTAATGTGGAGATCATTCAGTCAGTTGACAAAGAGTCAACCGACTCATTTCAAAGAGACACTGAGCACTTGCTGTGTGGGCCAAGCACTCTCCTAGGTGCTAATTCATAACACTGTGCATTTGCTCCAGGCTCTCGTTATTGCAGGAAAGATGACATTGATGACTTCGTGGATGTAGGAATTTAATGATATTAAGACAACTTTATGTTTTCTACAAGATTTTTAACTTTTTAAAGTATTTCATAGTATTTAATTTTGCCTTCACAGTAACCCAGGGACATAAAGAGAAGAGGTATTATCCTCTCTTTTACAGATGAGGAGACTAAGGGAACTCTGTTGAACAAACAGTACTTGCAGACACTATGCTAGGCAATTTCATCTAATAACCATAACAGTCCATGAGGTAGGCTACATCAGCATTGAGGACTGAGCTTCAGAATGGGGTCAAAGTGTTCTTTGCTGTCCTGTAATTAGGAGATGACAAAGCTGGGACTAGAACCCAGTTCTCTAGCCCTGGTCACAGCTTTGTCCCAGTATTCATGAGTTTTTTCTTATTTTTTTTTTTCTTGGAAACATTTGAGATTTATCAGTAGGTTCCTTCAGGGAAAAAAAAAAAGATGGTATTTTAACTGTGAGATTCATCAAAATTGAACATTGTATCTCACAGCTTCCCTCCTTTGGCTCTAAGGAATAGTCCCTGGAGATGACAGACTTCAAAACTTGATGCCTGGTTTATCAAGGTAGGACGCCCATTGCTTAGGATTGCTTACTGGGACATAGATCCTTTCACTACATTACAAGCACTTTGCAAATCTCTTTAAAATAACAGAAGTACAACAGTACTCAGAACTCTCAGTGTATTTTCCGTTGAGCAAGCTACTCCCTCCCATTCCTTATGTGGAAAAAAAAAAAAACAGAATGTTAGTCACTCTAGGTTGATAATGGGCTTTTATATTCCTTCCCATTCCCAAGTCTTCGGCTCTGGTGGCTGCTTCTCCTCTAGAACCAGTCCCCAAATCCACTTCTCTCTTACTCTCCACCCCAATACCCCCACAAAGTCTGTTCCAAATGTAATACCCCATCTTCTTGGCCCTTATTCTGCGAACATTCCGTCCCTTGGTTGTGTACACTGCTTTGTTGCTGTCTCCATAGCGCAAAGTCCATGTTTTTGATAGGAGGGAATGGGGCGGGGGGCAAAGGGAAGTGGGGGAACAGGGAGAGGACTCATGTACTTGGCCCCTTTCTTGTCCACTAAGAGCTGTGTGTGGCTCCTTAGTATTCTTGGCACTGGCCCATGAGTCCATCCCAGACAATGTATTCCCATAGACATATGTATTTCTAGGATGAGCGGTCTGATCTCCCTTGTTCTCAAACTGGATTATGAGAACCAGCTTAATCTTTGCTTCCCTTCTTGCCAGATCTCCCTTGGTTTCTTTGGCTTTATTTACATGGAAGTGATTTTTCCCCATCTATTCCACTGTTCTTGGCTTGGGCACAGGGTCTCCCCTGGCTTCTTTAACTCCCCAACCATCTCCATCGTGGCCTTCTCCTTAGCAAGGTTAAGCCAAGTGAAGAAGGGAGAAAGAAGGGCAGCAATTGTTGATTTGGACACGCTCTCTAAGCTAAGTAGATGTCATGAGATAAAAAAAAAAGGAAATGGCAGAAGTTCAGAGATTGAATACAACAAAAGGTAATGAGCACCTGCTCTGGTGAGGGGGCAGTGAATTCCAAGAGAAAGAGGAGGGGAAGCAAAGGTGGGTCTTGAAGGACAAGGGGGATTTTAACAAACAGAGACAGAGGAGGACGGGATGTTCTATGCACAAGGAATAACCTGAGTGAAAGGGAATAAAGTATAAAGACGGGCTCAGGGAAGAGAGGTTGAATTTGGCTATAACAGAGGGTACAAGCGATGGGGGGGCAAGGTTGGAAATGCAGCTGGAGGTCCTGTTTTGAAGGTCTCAAACGCCTAGGTAGGGAGTTTATACCTATTTTTATTTTCTAGCAGTGGGGACTTGCCAAAGCCTTTGGAGCAAGACAATGACATAATCTGGGCTACATTTATGAACTCAACCTACCAGCAATAATGTGGGGCAGACTGAAACAGGAGAGCCTAGGGGCAAGGGACACTGGCTAAGAGGAAGCTGTCATGTTCAAGGCAGTTGGTACTGCAGGTCTGGGCCAAGCTGAGAGGATAATCGAGAGAAACACGTTTCGAGAAAGGACTTGTCACCGTCCACTACGCAGAGAGGACAAGAAATAGGAGGACTAAGTAAAAGCAGTTGGATTTGGTAATTACAAGTCACCAATGACCCCTGAAAAAGGCATTTCAGTGGGGTTTGGAAGCAAATGCGAAAAGGAACAGAGGCAAGGAGTCCCTCAGTAGTGACAACGTGGAGGTGGCAAGTGTGGACCCCTCTTCAAAAATCTGGCTGGGGGGGCACCTGGGTGGCTCAGTGGGTTAAAGCCTCTGCCTTCAGCTCAGGTCATGGTCTCGGGGTCCTGGGATTGGGCCCCACATCGGGCTCTCTGCTCGGCGGGGAGCCTGCTTCCCCTTCTCTCTCTCTGCCTGCCTCTCTGCCTACTTGTGATCTCTCTTTGTCAAAATAGATAAATAAAATTAAAAAAAAAATCTGGCTGGGGCTGGGTGGGGTGTTAAGACAGAACTATGGTTCAATGAAACTATCCAGCTTAGGATAGACAATGGGCATTGGCAATGGGCCCCATGAGTTTCAGACTTCTACTAGCACAAAGGTCCAGATTCCCGGATCAATGGAAACCCCATGTCTCACCATTGACGATAAGGACCGAGAAGGTAGAGAGGTGATGTAGGCTGATAAACTCTGAATAGACACAGCTTTAGAAATCTGCATTTCAAACTGTAATGCATTTCCATTCAAGCACAGGATTCCATGGGGAAAATGTTTTCTAACAAGTCCATGCAACCTGTTGCAACACTTGTCGTGAAACTAATAGCCTATACATAATTCATAGCGCTGAGCAGGACTAAGGGTCCCTGCCGTGTGTTCCTCATTTATGGCCCAGCACCAAAACTCGCAGCTTCTGTAAAGCCACCGAAAACAAAAATTAGGGCTGAACCCATAATTTGGGGTCTGGTTTGACTATGGACCTTGGGGTTACCGTCACAATATGGCAAATGCTTCTTTTGCTCGGGCCCCCTAGCAATTTGCAGAAAGCCAGCCCATTTTAACACCGCAGAATGAGAACTGACAAGATGACTCTAATTTCAACCTTACTTCATTAATATGAAAATGCTTGGAAAAATAAATCTTTGGCTAATGAAAACACCATCTGCTGATGGCTTTTTGCCACTGTTTTCTTACATTACGAGACATAATTTGAGGAAAACCCCGAACATTTACTTACTCACTTCCTCTTCATTTGCAAGGAATGAAAGCCTCCTCTCAAACTGGAATTGATTCTCGATAATGAACATATGCAAAGGGAAGCGGAGAATTGCTGCAATTATGCATTCCGTTTCCTCACTCTTCCTTATCATGCCTGGCACTGGCAAATCATTTAGAACTAGAAATTCGGGGCCACTCTAGGCTCGAACGATTGCATTGATTTGGCCAAGTAATTCTCTTGCCTGTGCTCTGGCGAAGGAGACCAAGAGAACACATGTATGTATGTGTCTGTGTGTCAATGTGTGTGTGTGTGTGTGTGTGTGTGTGTGTGTGTGTGTACACAGTCTGCTTATGGAAAATTAAACACATCTTTTTGTTGTTGTGTTGCTATAGTTTGGTTCTGAAACACGGGTTTGTTTTGTTCTTCTCTTGCGTCGTCCAGTGAATCTCTGGGCCCGGCTCCCTCTGTCCAAGCCTCAGCGTAGCTTTCTCAGAACAGCTGAAACACGACAAAGAGACAGCCAGAGTGGCAGGGGAGATTGGAATAGAGATATGTGCCCGGAGGAAACAGGGAGGAGGGGGAGGGGGGTGGGGGTGGGGGAATGGGAGGTTGGCAGGGAAGCAGGATGAAGCTCCCATTTCCTGCCACAAGAGGTTACCTCTGGGTCCTTCTGTGCTTCCCCTGTGTGAGGGTCAGAGAAGCCATTTGCACCACGACACTGAGACCCTAGTCACCTCCAGATGACGACACCGTTACAGCTTCCATGGAATTGTACACGGGTCTTAGCAACGTAACCAAGGTTTTAAAAGGCCCAAGAGAGCTAAACTGACGGTCCACACCCATTCCGGTTTTTCATCCGAGTTCCGCTGCAGTTGTATCATGTAGACTTGGCCTGTCTGGGCTCAGTTCTACCCTTCACAAAAAGGAGAATGCTGGCCATTTCTGAGATACCAGGCACGGCCTAGTCTTCCAGACAGCATCCCATAAAAAGAAATGGCTCCTTTAACCCTCTCAAATAATTGCTGACGTGTTTGTTTTTTAAGATTTTTTAATTTATTTATCTGAGAGAGAGAGAGAGAGTGTGTGTGCAAGAGCACAAGCATGGGGGAGGGGCAGAGGGAGAAGCAGATTCCCCACTGAGCAGGAAGCCCAATGCAGGGGTTAATCCCCAGACCCCGGGGATCGTGACCTGAGCAGAAGGCAGAGGCTTCGCCAACTGAGCCACCCAGGCGCCCCAATTGCTGGTTTTTATTATTTTTTTCCATGTCTCTAGACACAGGTGGTTTCAGATAACTTTCTCACTGGCTCCCTCAAGAAACCAAGCTATCCGTCAAAACATTGCCTCGTCATTAAAGCTAGGGGTTCCCCTGACAGGACACGCTCTCGACCACTATTGCCACCTGTCATGCTCCATGAAGGCACGTGTATTCACACATAGGTGAGCACACTGACACACCCCTACCTGACAACACTCGTCTTGAAGCCTAAAAAGGGGTGACGCCTGCCTGTACTATTTAAACCTGTCGAAGTGCCACCGAGTGCCTGAAAAC